CAAAGGTGGAAAATTTTTTCATAGAAAATAAAGTGTATCAAACAAGGCAAAAGTGGAACTTGAAATTTATTTTTCATTTTCCAAGAAAAATAATGCTCTATCAAACAGGGCCAAAATTCCACTTTAACTAGTTCTCTTCAGATGGTGGATTATTTACTAATCAATTTTGCTTGCAAAAAGAGATTCGTATGGGTTCCCAACTAAACACGAAATGCTGTCTTGCCAAGTGATTAGGTTTTAAATGAAATAGTTGGAATATTATACACACACCATATGTATGAAAAGGTGTGCATATATCGGAAATTACAATTAAATCACTTGTACAGAATTATTTCATCTGTAAAAATGTCAGAATACTCATATGGGGTGGGCCCCATGTTAAAAAATATTATTATAAAAAATGGGACCCATCCCCTATGTGTGTGTTCTGTTATTTTTACAGAATTTTTTTCTGTAACAGTAGCATTGTTCGAAAATTAAATGAACATATAACTCTCTTTCGTCCCATTCCAATCTTGTACCCCTCATGCGCTCTCTATTAGGAGGTAACATGATTTGATTCGTGTTTTTGAATTATTTTTAAGTTAAACTGTTTAAAACGGTTTGAAAAAATTTCAAATCAAATCATTTTACTTTTCAAATCAAACAGTTTTTTTGCAATTCTGTTTGGTTTTCGATTTACTCGGTGAACTAACTTAAGTTTACAATCTCTATACAAAGTTCACTTAACAAACACAATTAACAAAATTCAGTTATACGTGTTTGAGCCACATTATTTTGGAAGAATATAATCTGGAATAGTAGATAGATGGAGAATGTATGGTTGAAAAAGAAGGAAAAGTTATTGATGTAATTAAAAATATTATTTTATTAAAAAATGTGCGATTGAAAATGAGTAGATAAATAAGAATGAAAATCTTAATATGTACCAAATTGGAGAAGATTGTATCCACTGCTTTAAGCAGTATTGGGCTTGCTGCCAAACACAATTACTTTCATGCGAATGACGGATTAGTTCAAAGGCATTAGCTAGTTTAAATGCTTAGACGAAATTGTTATGTTTGATTGACTTCCATCATAGTTTTTGGTCATTAGATCGATTATAACACTAATTTTGTAAGCTCGGGGATGTCCGGAGTAATTGTATCCACATTTTTTATCAATACAATTTATTTTCCGATTAAATAAAAAAAAAACAAAAAAGTAGTCTAAGCCTCATTTTACTCACTGTGAACAGTGAAATTTAGTGTACCTAATAAATTAGATTTCTTCATATGAGTAGTAATTTTTTTCGATTTTGTTTTCGGTGTCCACTCCCCTCACATGAGAGTGAGATCCACTTAAATAAATTTGTTTTTTATACAAGTGGGTCTCACCCTCATGTAAGAGGGGTGGATATCTTGACGTATATTTTTTGATATATAAGTAGATTTATCCAATTTTTTGAGATTTATAAATGGCTCAGTTCGATTTTCAAATTCTTTATAAGTTTCGAAACTCAGATCAAACCAATTTTAAGAAGTTTAGTTTGATTCTACTGTTCTACATTCTTCATAGTTTCTACTTTTCATTGTTTTGGGAAACCTAAGTTTCTACAGAATGAGTATTTATGTAAAATATAATCAATGAGCAGAGAGAGAGAGAGAGGGATTGAATGATGATGCATAAGTTTCACCTTCCTTAAAACCTTTACTTTGAACAGACTCTACTCAACCAAGTTCTCAAGAATTCATACTGTTTTTCCAATTTCTAGTTTTCTCTCAAGCAATCCACTAATCTATCAACCCATCATTAACAATCCAAATTAATTTTCCAAAACAGTCTAGAAAACCCATTAAAATTCACACATTTTCCCTCCATTTAAACCCAATCTTCACATACACACTACAAAAATTAGCATTGAAAAAAAATGACAGACATTCTGCATTCCCCACCACCACAAATGGCTTCACCTTCAAGCTCCGTGGATGATGGGTTGCATTCCCTTATTAACACTCATTCGGTAGATTTTTTCAGGAGAAATAACAGTACCAACTACAACAGGAGTTAGATGCACAAGAAGAGGAGGAGGATCAATGGTCTGTCTTGGCTGCTTCGGTGACTGCTTTTAGGAAATCTTCGGCGGGTTGTAGAAGTGCAGCTGAAAATTGTAGTGTGGAAAATGGGTGGCCTACTAATGTTAGGCATGTTGCCCATGTAACATTTGATAGGTTCAATGGATTTCTTAAACTCCCTGATGAGTTTGAACCTGAAGTTCCCAGAAGGCCTCCCAGTGCTAGATCTGTTTTTAGTCTTCTAAACTTTATAATGAGGTTTTATTTTGATACGGAATGTCACTTGAAAAATCAGAAAAAAAGGAATAGATGATTAGTAGGGAAGGTGAGCATGTATGGAGTGTGCTTATAAGGAGCTCTTTCTCTGGATTTTTGGTTTCTATGAAAACTTTAGAATCGAAGAAAAAACACATGCTGTGGGAGTGTGTGTATTGGGTAAAGAAGCATTTGAGAGTGCAAAGGGAGTTTATAATTCGAAACTTTATTGATGAATTGGACGTAGATGACTTTGCTGAATCACGTAAATCTTTTGTGTTTTTTCTTTTGTTCTTTTGCTGCATTTATTAGCACGTGGCCGTGAGAATAATTTTCTTGAACTGGTTGTTAATTTCTCCTTGTTAGAGTGTGTACATTTCTCTTCTTTTTCTTGATGTTTTCGTGGTAAAAGTTGCATATCTTAATGAATGATAGAAAACGAAGGAAAAACCAGCAGTTGTTTCTTTTAGTTTCCCTGTTTTCTGGCATCTAATGTTGTCAATTCAAGTACTTGTATTTACACTTTTTAAAAGCTTACATCGTTGTTCCTTTTGATTTATTATGGAAAATGGGCTAAAGTTTTTCATCTGAATAAGTTGTAAATATGATTATATTTAACTATCAGAAATTGAGTAAACGAGGAGCAAAAAGAAAGACATCTTGTGCATAAAATTCTGTTTTAAAAAAAAAAAGATGTTTGTAGATTCTCGCATCATATCATTAATCATAAACTTCGAAATTCTCATAACCTAGACTTAATTTCATCATAATCGTCTAAGTCTATATAGACAATTATCTCTCATCATATTTTTATAATATATTTCAAATTTCCTTATTTGAAATTTATTTTGGTTGCATTTAAGAGCTCATATTATATTAAGAAGACTTTTAACGCTTCGAGTTCCTACTCTCAACTACTATCGTTGCATAGATTTCTAAAATTGAAGTCACAACCTTCGATTCTTCTTTCTCAAATATTATTTTCTTTTTTCTCAATTAGTAACAAAATCATAACCAAACCGAAACCGAATCGGTTCCAATTTGGTTCCATATTTTAAAATGGAATCATGTTCACCCCCAATATAAATCATTAGAGACGAGATATGTTAATTAATTAAAATTTAATAATAAGAATACAATGCAAAAAATTTGGGAACATAAATGTGAGTATAAACAAAACTTTTGTTACAAAAGTTAACGAAATACAATACAATAAACAAAAATTGCGATGTCAATATTATTAGGGTTATGTTACATGTACATATTTTTTTACCTAATTTTTTACAAACACCCGACTCACATTTGGAAGTGGGGACCACGAGCCGCATTTTTTTAAAAACATGGGGCCCGCCGCACTTGTGAGGGAGGGAGGGAGGAGGGGGGGCGGGGACACCATTCGGTCACCCCCCTTCGGTACATCCGGATAAACCCATATTATTATCATTCTTATATACTCGAAAGTGGCAATTGACAATAGACTTGAAATTTCTTCATATCGAATTGAATGCTGATTAAAAAACATAAATCTCAAATAATACTCGATTCCAATGGACACTATGCAAAAATGACCCAATCTGACCCTACATTGCTGCCCGAAATGGGGGTTTCCCCCTGTACAGAAAGAAGGCCACCAGAATTTGGCCAGAATACACACAAATACGAGGGACCCACCATGTATTTTAAAAGAACAAAAAATTCGCGGTACCCGTATTGGTGAAATTCTGGTGGTTCCTTTCTGTACACCCAGCCCTGTTGCCCAAAATTGGGTTGCGCCTATTATAATCCAGAAACATGAATAAAGATAAAAGCATGCATACATTGAATAAACCAGGTCCAGCCGGCGGTGCACACCAAAATACAAAAATCTCACGTCAAATTGAAAACGATTAGTGACATTGATTAAGAAGTAGCCACAGATTCAAATTATTCAATGACGGTGAAATCAATAGATAAATCTATAAAAGGCAGTTATAATCTTTTCAATCCATTTTCATTTTTATCGATCAATCAATCCATTTCGAGCATAAGAAATGGAGCTCAAGCCTGGTCTTTCGGCTTTAGTCACTGGCGGAGCATCAGGCATCGGCAAGGCGCTTGTTCTAGCCCTTGCAAGCAAAGGAATTTTCATTACAATAATCGATTTTTCTGATAAAGGAAACCAAGTTGCGTCACTTGCCGGTAATGAAATTTCCAAGTTACATTCTGAACTGGGATTTCCGCCGGCCATGTTCATCAAAGCTGATGTCACTAACACAAGTGAGTAGTAACATCTAAAATTCGACTGGTCGTTTGAGTCAAATTTTGCGATTGATCCTGAATAATCTTTGACACGTTCACAAATTGGACTATTTATTATATTGATTGGGGAGATTCTGAATAGCTGTGATTTGATTGTGGGGTGGGTTAGATGAACTTTCTGCGGCTTTCAAGAAGCATTTTGAGACGTATGGAGGATTGGATATCTGTATTAACAATGCAGGGATTGGGAGTCCGGTTCCATTTGATAAGGATGATACTGATGGTTCTAAATCTTGGAGACTCACCGTTAATGTCAATCTTATTGCAGTTATTGATTGCACCCGTCTCGCTGTAAGTTTCTAATCTGCCAGTTGATTGAAAATGAATTTTTTATGCTATTACTGGGTTGAATTTAAGATTGATTACACCTTTCTAAGTTAAGTGAGTAGTAAATGATTCATGGAGCTTTTAATGTTTAAAGTTTTCTATTATTCATGCTCAAGTTTATACTTTCGGATGATTGATGATTACTGTGTTAAGAGGACCTTGGAGAGTTGCACCTATAAACCAGATGTGGAGAGAGTTACGCACAAGAAGTTTCTTTCTCTGGAATTTTTTTTATGCTCATGGATCTTCCAATTTAGCATATTAATCTTGATTTGTTTGCAGATTCAAACCATGCAACTGGCTAAAAAGCCTGGTGTAATCGTTAATGTTGGCTCTGCATCAGGGCTCTACCCAATGTACGCTGATCCTATCTACTCTGCCTCTAAAGGTTTGTAATTCTCTATTATACATCTTTTTTCTGTCAGTTCTTCCCAAATATGATTGATCTAAATTATGTATCTGGTCTGACGATGATAAGAAATGTCACAGGGGGTGTGGTTATGTTCACCAGATCCCTCACTCTTTACAAGCGTCAAGGGATCCGTATCAATGTGCTTTGCCCTGAGGTAAGCTCTATTGCTTTAATTTTTCTAATGACACATCTGCAATGTACAACAATAACTGGGCTGAGATATTAGACGCCTCATTAATGTTTGAGGTTGGACATGAACCATGGTGTCGCAGTTCAAATCCCTTCTTGCCCACAACTGGCCCAAAATGGAAGTACCTTTCATTGTGGTTTAGTCTCAATCTCTATGTCAACCAACATGATTGAGTCCCAGAGTTGCCCCAAAGGGTAGATAGATACATTGATGTGTAAGATAATATGGAATAGAAATGGTTCATAGCAATGTGAGTCTGGCTTTAGTGGCCTCACGGCTTAGTCCTTTACCATCGTTGTACATGTGGCACTCTCTAAAATCTTCTTCAATAATAAAAATAATGAAAATACTCTGCATCAATCATCTTGTAGTAGGGAGCAGTGGTTTCATCATTGTGGACCGACCTGTAATTATAAATTTGTAAAATATCAAGGACGAATCCTTGATACAACTGCACATCTTGCATTTTGAAAAATGCTAATTAATCATTATATCCAGATCTTCAAGTAGGTATTCACTTTTGAAACTGTTCGTTCATCAAAAGTTGTGTACAGTTAACCGGCAGTGAACGTGATTTTTCCTAGTAACTGCAAATGCATCCTTTTAACTCCTCTATTCAGTTTTCTAAATATATACTGCTGCATTTGGACTTAGTCGTGTATCCCCTATTTATTTTGCTTTGGTGCTTAATTCTTATAATCACGAGTCGACAAACTTTTCCTGCCTCCATTCGTACTCCCAGTTCATTCTTTTGGTCTCAAAATTTTATGGCAAAGTCACTTCCTCAGCAACCAGCTATCCCACACTTTGGCAACCAAATGAGAAACTGAACCCCTAAAAATAAGCAGCTGCTCTGAATCCACAGCAAAGTTTTTCCGAATGTAGTTTCCTATGAAAATAGGGAAAGGAACGAAAGCACTACCACCTTAAAGAAACCAACTATAATCCAAAAATCAGGATAGCACCATCATCGATGGCCAATGCCTGAGGCCAAAAAGAGTGTTGGATAAATTAATGCATGGATTATTTCCCGTTAAATAAAAACACCTGTATGCAAATACTAGAGTAACGACTTACCGAATCATAGTACATGAATAGTAATGAACAAATTACTACTTACTCAAACGTAAAAAATGTAGAAATCGAAGAAGATAAAATAAAGCGAGGTGTGCGAATGCAAATCTCCTTAAAACGGATTTCACCCCTGCACTGGTGCTAACATGATCAAATGGACGTCTTTCTCCCAATATACTACGCTTCTTCAAAAAAATTAATATAACACAATATTAATTTTACTGGACGAACCAATGCTTGACCGTACTCTTCTAAAATAGAAGATATCAAGTAATAAATATAAAACACGAACTAAAAATAATATGAAAACTATTTTGACAAAATTTAGTGAAAGAAAAAATCAGAAATCAATTATTAGGAATTGATTTGGAGTGAAGAAAATGAAATTATGAGAATCCTATTTATAGATTTTCATGCGTCTCTTCCTAACGGTCATATCTTTTGATAAAATATATTTCAACTATTAGATCGCATCATTTCATAATTGATGGTTTATATTACACCTTATCAACAGGCTGTGACTTTTCGTTAAGCACCTTTAACACTTGAAGAGTCGTACCCAATCAAAGCATTTAATTGGATATTTTTCGAATTCACATATTTAAATATCTCTAAGTACCCTTAAATTCCAACAAAGAGATCATCGTTGCCACCTCCCAGAACCTTTAGGGTGTGTTTGATAGCCACCCAATTCCATGAAAAATAGAAAAACTTTTCCATTTTCCCACTTTTGTATTGTTTGATATATTTTTTTTCCTAGAAAATTGGAATTTCCACTTTGCTTCACACGGTTACAATTTTCCTCAATTCCTTGAATTTATTTTCCCACCATTTTATTGGGAAAGTCTTTTCCAGGTTCTGCCAGTTTTTTTTCTGCCACAAAGAGAGCCAAAAAAAAAAAAAACCCACCACCTTGACAACCCCTCAAAATCACCAGCATGACCACCATTTCCTCTTCCCCCACTGAGACCAAACATACTCGTTAATTAACCTGAAATGAATGGGGAAACAGACCACTATTTGTCGCTCTCTCCAACCCAATTTCACTGAAATCATTCGGAAGTCAAAGTTTCCATCAACTGTCACCACATATCACCCAAAGCTTCACAAAATAGACTTACACTAGTGAAAAACACCTAAAATTAGTTGGTTAATCTGGCGCATTTAGTAGGAGAAGAAGCGGAGTTATTGGGTTTAAAGGTTAACTCGGTGAGGAAGCTTGTTAATTTTAAGTTGGATATGTTAGATAGCAACATCAAGCCGACGGAATGGTTGTGGTAATGGACAATGGTTATTTTGTGAGGCTGGGCCGATGAGCTTGAAGGATGCTTTTCCAAGCTACCTGGTTACGTGAAAAGTTTTAGCTTTCTGATTAAAATTTCTTAGAGATGATGTTAGCAAGCTGTAGTATAACTCATCATTTATGTAGCATTTTAGCAGTGGTGGCTAAAACACTAATTAAGATTACAATTTTTTTTCTATAAAAAATACTTATTAACCATCTTCTGCCTGCAGTTTGTGCAAACTGATTTGGCCTCAAAATTGGATCCTAAAATTATTGATCTAATTGGAGGCTTCTTACCAATGGAAATGGTAGTGAAAGGTAAGAACTATTGTAATTATTTTTGGAACTTAATTGATATATGGGATGTGTATGTAATCCCATCATGCGTGCCAAGGCATCTACTGTTCATTGTAGTATTTAAGAAATTAGTCAAGAATTAATCTGTCATTATCTTTTACGTTTTGTGTTATTGCATTGAACCTATCTTCTAGCTGTGAGTTTCTAATTATGAAATTTGTAGGCGCTTTTGAGCTTATAAGTGATGAGACTAAAGCTGGATCTTGCTTGTGGATATCTAAGCGAAGGGGCTTAGAGTATTGGCCAACTCCTGCAGAAGAAGCAAAATATCGCGTGCGCCCTTTGACACAAAGGAGAAAGTCTTCATTGATGTCTCCATTAAGTATTCAAATGCCCCAAAGTTTTGAGAAGATGTAAGAAAACATATATTCAGTTACCAGCATTAAAAACGAGTGGAAGTTCTCTGTCATCTTCTTATGTTTATTCCTTGGCTTTGAATACAACCATTTTGTGGGCTCAAGGAGGCATTGGTCACTTATTATGAATTATACGATGATCTAATGAAAGAGTTGAAAATTTTGATATTAATATGTTACAGTCATTATGTGCAAGAAACAGAGTACTAAAATCCACACTGTTTGTGGAAAAAATCTGTAGAGGGAACCAAGCAAGTCTGTGCAAGTACTTCCTCTTTCATTATGGTAGTATTGTGATGATTACTTTTTTGCTCATTTTTCTTTCAAACTTCTTTGTGTGGATTTCTTGCCTCCACATTGAATTTTCTTTTAATGTTTTGTCACCATGTTGAATATGACCAAAAGAGAACAGAATAGTTTTCCATGTGTTTTGCAGACACATTCTCGAAAATGAATTTTAGATTTTTGGTTTCTTTCTTATCATGCTGAAAGAACATTCTTCTTAACTACTTGGCAGATTTTGTTGGGATCTTTTTGGCTTTAGTGAAAAATTTACTCGGTTAAGACGCTCTTGAATCTACTCATGTTTTACCGTATTTTAGCATGTGGTTACAATTTCGTATAAATCGTGGCTGCAATTATTTTCCTCCTTCCTGTTATTGTTCCTCTTGTCTGTTCTTTTAAAATTAATCCAGGTTTCTTTAATGCACTATTTCTTGCATGAACGTTTACAAAATCATTTATTGATTATTTTTCGATGAGTCTTTTTTTGATCTTGTTCTGCAGAGTTGTCGACACATTGAATCACAATTTCCGTAGTGCTACTAGTGTAATACGTGCTCCGTTGAGATTCCCCCTCAAACCAGATCATGTGCTTTTGAAAGTCATTTATGCCGGTGTTAATGCGAGTGATGTAAGTTTGGTACTCTTATAATTTAATTTTTGTCTATAAGTTTTATGTGAATGAAATAGATGTCCTAAAGTTTGGTATCCTGTATCTTGGAAAAATAAAAGAAATAATACGTTGCATAATACATGTACATCTTAGATTATATAACATATGTAGGAAAATTTAGATTTATGGATCTTCCAATGCAGTTTCACTTTGCTACTTGCATATTAATTATTTTGTTGGTGTTGCTGCCTCTATGTGGTTAAACCTAATTACGTTAAGGAATATTATATGAAATAAGCTTACCCAGTGTACATATACACAAGGATGAGGGACCTCTGTGTAGAATTGGCAAGTGGATTAATGTAAAGCATTTTGTAACAGGTGAATTTTAGCTCAGGACGGTATTTTAGTGGAGATAAAAAGGACATCGAATCCCGTCTTCCATTTGATGCTGGCTTTGAGGTAAGGGAAAAATTAACTCAAGTTTTAGCATAATTTGAGAAGTAAATTGGTGTACTTAAACAAATTTTATACTATGATTTTACAATAAGCACTGATCGTCTGAGACACTGCCAGAAATTTCTCATGCTCCTTCCAATTGTTATTGCTTTAATTACATTTAAGTTGGCATATGTTGTTAGGATATACTGAATGCTAAATGTCCTTTTATTTAAATAATGTAATTGCTCCTGCTCTTTAGAAATGAATGTCTTGCTTTATATTTTGGACTGTTTTAAACTCTTGTCCACTTCCCTAAACTAGCGAATTTTACCTTTTCCCTTCTTCCTGAATGAAACAATGAACTGCAAGTTTGTAGTTACCTGATACCATTTCAAGCTCGTTACTAGTTTCATTCCAAATTTGACGTTTCAATAATAGTATTGGCGTCATGTTTGCAAAAGTTTTGCATCAAGAACTGTAATATGTGTTAGTCACAAATGACAGGTTTAATCCAGGGGGGATATGTTGGGGTGGGCGGTCGAACTCAAATATATTAAACAACTATCTTATTCTTAGAAGAAATTTTTTCTGCCATTTACTTATTCAACACTTATTTGATTCTTCTTTTGAAATCTTTCGCCTTATAAATGAATCAATAAAAGTGAAGTTGCAGAAACTAAACAGATGGTAAGAGACTCCAGATTTATAGAGGTTCGACTTGTGAGTCTTCATTCTCTCTTTTGGTATTTCACTAGTTTAGCAACAACTATCTCCCATTTCGTTTCATTGAATCAAATACCAACTTACAACAGTACTACAATGACAACTTGAAACTAAGAAAGAGGCTAGCTTATATTGCACAGTAATGTGAGAATCATAGAGCAAAAAGGAAAAAAAATCTATTCAGATTATGCTCAGAGGTTTGTTTCTCAAAAAACTGATTTTAAGTTGTAAAACTCAAATAGTGTCTTTCTTTCGTTCCAAAAATCTTGTGAATTAGAGTTTTCAGAAGAATTTAGGTTTATTGTCTATTATAAACTAGTATCTTGAATAACTTTCAAGATAGGAAGAATTCTTATAGACTAATAGTGAATTGTGACAAAATATCTTTATATAAGAAAGAGGAAAGTCTCTGCAGGAAGTGTTCTTCAGTTGCTTGTTGCACAATGTCCGTTGGACTTCTAAGGACAATTTTTTTGTCGTCTAATTCCTCCAATAGCTTGATCTGGATCTGTGATTCTGAAAATGTCACATTGAATGTATGAAGTCCTTCAAATACTTCAATAAATGTTTGAATGATCAACAATGGACTTTCGAAAATTCCAATACAACCAATTCCGTGTCTGGTCTTTCTGTTGTTCCTCTTCAGATGTATGATCCAAATTATCATTCATATGGCCTTTTAAACAATTCACACCAAGGGTCAATGTCATATATGGTCGTCTTAAACATTTCACATTTAATGAATGCAAATCAACTGACATATGACCCCCGTTTCTTTCTATGTTACATGTGATAACTTCATCATATGTATGACCCTTTTGTTTTTCTGTGTCGTAGATATAAATCCTTTAGACGCTCTACTTCATATGAGCGATACATCCTCACACGTATCTCTCAAACCTTCCACATCTGTCGTATGGTTCATTGCATGAGGCATTTGATGCTTCTCTATCTCCTTGAATCTGTGTTTGGTGTGTGGTTGAAAATTGTTAAGTCATATGATCTTCCATGAAATTCTTTTGGCGTCATTTAAATATCTGAACTTTTTATATAAAATTTTGTAATTCTCTTGTACAAAGATTATTGCATGACTTTGTATGTGCATTGCAATCAATCGAACTTCTCACTAGCATTTTATGTGTTGGTTATTGTCAGATGTCAGAAGTTAATATGTTAAATAGACAGGATATTGTTGTTTATTTAGATATTTCTAAAGTTTTACAAGGTAAAATGCATGCAATCTTCATGAAGATGCCTGTACATTTATAATAGATTTGATGTAATTTTTGCTTGGGACTTATTGATGCTCATTCACGACTCTGTCTCTGTATCAGTTTATTGGTTACAGATGAATCATTTTTTGAGAGTTCCTACATATTGGTCCATTGACTGATAGAAGTAATTCGTGATGGAATATTGCCATTTTAATGCTTGTTTCCATTTGCTTTGTCATTGATCTTTCCATTAATATTAGTTCATTATATTTTTATTTCAGGTACATTTTGATTTATCTGAGATCAGACAATTATTTTGGGGGTTCACAAACATAATCTTCTTGTCTTATATTTCAGGGTGTGGGAATAATCGTTGCTGTAGGTGACTCTGCTAAAAACTTAAAGCCTGGCACTCCGGCAGCAATAATGACTTTTGGAAGTTATGCTGAATTCACCGCGGTAAAACATTTATATTTGTTTGACTTTGATATAGGTCGGTTTTGTTGTTCTGTTTTTATTTTTTCATATTTCTTGAGGTGATGATATGCATAAACATGTAATTTAGGTACCTTCAAAGCACATCCTTCCTGTGGAAAGACCAGATCCAGAAGTTGTTGCCATGCTCACATCAGGATTGACAGCATCTATAGCTTTAGAAAAGGTTTTTCTTCACTCATGTCTGAGATACTTTTCATTCTTTCTTAATTAATTTATTCTCCTCTGCCTTATTCAAGAATTTTGATTGAATGTACCGTATTGTCAGCATAACCTTTATATTCATCTTTGCAGCTAGTAGAATTTGTTCGTGTTATTTCATTTCGAAGATGTATTTCAATTAAACAATTTATATTGCTAAGCCTTTATCCATTTGTTAACTTTTTAGGCGGCTCAAATGGAATCAGAAAAAGTAGTTCTTGTCACTGCTGCTGCAGGAGGCACCGGGCAGTTTGCTGTTCAGGTATATTTGTAATGATGACATGGATATACATCTAATATTTTTCTACAAGTATATTGTCAGCGCTAACATATGCCAATAATACATGGAACACTTGCAATGTGCATGGTGATGCTTAATCTATTTATCTGTTTTAAAGAAACTATCCCAATCCTTTTGGCCTTTTCTCGTTTAAATTGATCACCCCTTTTACTTGAGGGAAACTTCCATCTATGAGGTTGGTTGGATAGGTTAAATTATACAGCTTTACCTGGGGAGTGGCCTTTACATGTTGTCGGCTCTTGATGCCAGATTGCAGTAGAGCAATCCTTGCCACTGCTCCAATGTCCATCCTTCATATATTTATCCACAGTTTCTGTTCACCCTCTACGGTTTTGGGACGTTGAACTGAATAAGATCCTTTCTTCTAGATTTCTTATATCACTTTGGTCCATATTTGCATCACCAAGAATGTGTAACATCTCTTAAATTGTACCAAATAGAAATAATATTCCTTTCCACTCATTCTTACTGCAATACTAATGAGTTTATAACAACTATTACTTACTGCAGCTCGCTAAACTAGCTGGAAATAAGGTTGTTGCAACTTGTGGAGGCAAAGAAAAGGCCAAGCTTTTGAAAGATTTAGGAGTCGATCGAGTCATTGACTATAAAGAAGAAAATATCAAAACTGTATGTCTCTCGAAGATTTTGTTGTTTCATTTTTTAGTTTGCACTTGCATAAATGGTGGCCAGAGAGTAAGGATGTGGAAGGTGGAAAAATATAATGCACTCTAGCACGTCAAGGTTGAAATTTGCTTTGGTTTTACATATAATTGTTTGATTATGATCTCTTCCATCGTTTTTTATTTAACCTACACAAATCCAACTGCTCATGTTTATGTGATAGGAACAATTTCTTTCTTGGTTTCGTGTCCTACCTCTTTAAAGTCATGATATGATGGATCTACGTTGCAGACATGCCATTATGTGGGGGCCACTTCTCGTTAAAGCTCAATCCTATTTAATTTTCCTTTTAACATCTTTATCAAAATGGAGGGTTGTTCTCCTGGTGACGAAGCTTGGTAGGGAAAACACAGTTTCTTGACATTTATTGAGTGAAGATATCTTCAATGCGGTTACTCAGAAATAAAACTCCCAAAATATAAAAAGATGAATTCCTTGGATAGTGAAGAAGAGTTCTCTGTAAAGTCCCCCAGATTCCAGAATATCTTGCAATGATAATCTGTAACTTTTTGGAAGTAAAACCTCTTGGACCTTTGGCGAAAGACTAGATGATTTGAAGATTCTTTGAGGAATTTCATAATTTTGCAACTTTTTAGGAAAGGGTCAAAGGTCAATATATATTTGGCACCTAACATTAAGTTTGGGTGTGCTAGGTCAACCTCTTTTCTTTTATAAAAGAAGGGACTCAATTGTTGACAAGTCCTGAGTTGGTCTTAAATAGAGAATATTAGGATTGGTAGGTTAATTATGTTGTGCTGTGTTAGGCTCCCAGTTAAAGAACAGTTCCTTAAGGTTTATCATTATTTCTTGGTCACATATAGCACATGAATAATTGAGAAACCAAGAACATGTTCATTATTTATACATGGAATTTAACTAAGATAAAAATGATATACACATGGAGACACAATAACAGAGCCATGAAGGGGATCACTGTTGAAACTTAATAGATATGGAAACGTATAACAAGTATCTACCAACCTACCAGGCCAGACAAACTCAAGGCATGAGGTTCACACGTAAAACCTAAAAAATAGATTAAGGATCCTCATTAGAGGAAAGCCTTGGGATTTACTACCCATGAAGTTCCATATCAAAATATGAATGTGGAGAAAAAGAACTTCCATTATCTATCATAAAAGGAAATTCCAAGGTTATGTTATATGGTGATTTTCTTGATGTATTCTATGCGAATCGAGAGCCTTTTATTTCAGGAAAGGGAGAGGACATAATGAGATGTCTACAAATGCTTAATTATATGAGTTTTTCCATTGACAACAATATAAATGCTTAAAATCTTCCAAAATTGCTAGCATGTTCTTTCGTGTTTCCAGGTTCTAAAGGCTGAGTTCCCTAAAGGTGTTGATATCGTCTATGAGTCTGTTGGTGGTGAAATGTTTAATCTATGCTTGAACGCTTTGGCAAACTATGGTCGACTTGTTGTGATCGGAATGATTTCTCAGGTTTGGACTTGATTCTGAACATATATAGTATTTGCTTCCGTCTGTTGGCATCAGTCTTGATTGACCTACATAAATTTAGACTGCTACTCGTATCAAAGGAAACAAGTTTCTTTATCATTTGATTCTTTGTCTCCAATTCGTTGTTTAACCTCCGATGACAAATTCATCTGATTTTAGTATCAAGGAGAACATGGGTGGAAGCCAGGAAATTATACAGGGTTATGTGAAAAGATTCTGAGCAAAAGCCAGACTGTGGTATGTGATCTATATTTTTTACGTTTCACATGATAATCAACTGTTATACTCTGATTTTTTTGCTATCAATGAATTGATTGGTGGCCATTTTCCGTTTTCCTTGTTAATATGGTATCTTTGGAAGTAATGTTTGGCTTTAATTTCAGTTAATAGAGTAATAATGTTTTCAGATAGATTTTTTTTTTATTCACTTATCGTAAGTACTATCACTAGACTTAGCTGCTTGAGTGTATAAATAGTTTACTATTGTTGTTCATTTTTTATTTTTGTCCTATATTGCTCAGTATGTCGTTCTCAGTCCATTATAGTTGTTTTATCTGCCTTTCTATTACTGTTAATGCTGCTATTGAATGTTCTATGGTCTTTATATATCCTAGCCATTCCAAATATTCATCTGTAGAAGTTCCAGTAGCCTTTTGATTTGGTTGCACAAAGAGTAGAATCTCCGTTTCACCTAACGTTGTCCTTGGCAATTTGACCTGTAATCAAAGGCTAATGTTACTTGCCTAGTGGCCTTGTAAAATTGGTTTTCCAAATCAATTTACTCGAAACTGAATAGAGAATCATTTAAGGAAATGATTCCATCTGTAATTAATGTCCATATGCCCGAAATATGACTTGAAGATATCCCATGTTCCTTTCTGTGCAACTTCGTTTAATTTGAACTTTGTTTTTGTTTTAACAGTATCTCATGATGATTGAATTACGACCAGATGATGTTTGATTTCTTGCATTATTTTAATGTCTTGATGCCAAATGTTTTCAGACTGGCTTTTTCTTAGTACAATATGCTCACCTCTGGCAGCAGCATTTAGATAAGCTCGTTCGTCTTCACTCCTCGGGAAAGCTCAAGGTAGAATGAATAACGATTTATCTCCATACCATTAGAAATGATCGTCACTCTATGTGGCAATGTGGCAGATGATTTGCTACGAAATGATAAAGACCAATTAAATGTACAGATATGACACCCATTTTATTGGTTTTATCATTTATTGTCACATCATGTGGTAATCATCTCTAATAGACATAAATAGCAACTCGGAGTGCATTTGCTCGGCACTGTTTGGTTCATATATGCACAGGAAGTTTCGGTCTGAATTACTTGACCACAAGTATTCACAACCTACTGTCATAATTATTCTTGAATCGGATTATTAAACTACTTGGGTCATCATGTGCATGTTTGGGATACAAGGAGTGAACAATATAATGACCAAGATTACACGCATCTTCACGAGACTTGCTTTATCTCTGTATGACAGGTTGCAGTCGATCCAAAACCATTTTTAGGCATTAATTCGGTTGCTGATGCAGTTGACTATCTTCATTCTGGTAAAAGTGTTGGCAAGGTATTCATTCATTATCACAAGGCAGTTTCCTTATCTTTCTAATTTCTCTTTCTTTTGAGCTAATAATTTTGATGCTATTTACACACTTCAATACCTTCATTGAAAACACTGCAGGTCGTTGTTTGCATTGACCCATCGTATGGTCAACTCCTAGCAAAATTATGAGCACGCTATGTTTTACTTTCGAGAAATAATTAGAATAAAGCTTCTTGTACATTCAATACATGACAATGTGGATGACATTGTGTACAAATTCAAAAATGAATGGGCGGGAAAGTGTGTTTTGTTTTAAAACTGACTACTTGTGCTGCGACACGTGGCACAATGTCGAACTTGATGTAAGAAAAAAATGTAAATGTAGCATGATTGAAATCATTATTAGTTGCGAGATTTACCAGATGTGCAATTTTTTAGTTGTACAAAAGCTGAAAAGTGACTTAATAAAAGGGAATAGGAGAATATGCCAGCCACTATTCTGCTTGCCATTTTATACTTTCAAGTATTTTTATCTTAGTGTATGGATTTTTTAATATATTAAATAAAATTTTAGCTTTATTTTCTTCCTCATATAGACAAGACAATGCAGTGAAGATCTTAGCTTTATTTTCTTTTTTTAGATTATCCGGTTCAAAGTGTATGTTTTGTACCCATAAAAAATGAGTATGTTTTATGTTTGGAATGTGTGAAAAACAATGTTCTAACTTCATTTTCTTAGCTCCATCTATTTTATTCAATTCATATTAATTAATTTTATGATATGATTTTCCACTAAATATTTGATTGAAAAGAAATTAAAAAGTATATAGTCCATGACGACCCAAATTTTGTTATTGAAGTCCCTACCAAAAGTTTTAATAAATTTTTACGAATCCTTTATTTATTTATGGATGTCTAATAATTATCATTGATGATATTAACACTAAATTTCGACATAACTAATGTGACAAATTTCTTTTAGAATTATTATATCTATTCATTTTAATTGAATGTGCATGGAGATCGTGAAGTAATTTGACAAGAATATTCATCGTATGGCTAAAATTCCAAATCAACATTATTATTTAAACTGAAATTTTTAACAGTAAAGAAGACGTAACGTAATAGAAACAAGTTTGAACTTTGAATAAAGAAGACCAACATAAACGAAATTAGCCAACTTATCAAGTCACCCACATAATTTTAAATTCAAATAACTTTTGTTCCAGATCCATCCACATAAAAATAAAATTAAAGTAAATGCTGAAAACAAAATATTTAATCACGTTACATTAGATTTAATTTATTAAATCCAATGAATTCAGACACAACGATTGCACATTATCGCCCGCCATCCAACGACTCATTTTAATCCGAGAGAGGTAGGGAAAATTGTGAGTATATGAGAATATTCAGTAGGAGATGAATATTTTGTGCAAGCCCGAATAAAAATATTAAATCATGCGTAAAAAAATCATATCGTCATATCATATCTTTAGAAATCGGTAAGAACTCAATAAATATTATATATTTGGTACCGGTTGGCCATAACATACATATCATATCATATCATAACTTTCTTTAGCATAATACTTATCAACATGAAGAAATAAATTAAACGGGACAAATCACTTGCACTTCGTAATTCTATCTCGTCAGATCAAATAAATTTTTGGATAAACAAAACCAAAATCACATTCCAACTTTATTTTCCTCCTACTGTCGTTAGGGGTGTCAACGAGCTAAGCCGAGCCACGAATAGAAACTCGAAGCTCGGGCTCGACTCGAGTAAAAATGATTCGGACTTCTTTTTGGCCCAAGCCAAGCCGAGCTTTTGCTCGGCCGAAAATTTTAGGCTCAACCCGAGCTTTCGGCTCGTGCCTTTACGAGACGAGACAAGCTGGCTCGATTTTTTTTCTCTCTCTTTTTTTTTTTTAATATTCACAGCTACCTGCATTTTGCAGGTGCAAGCAGCTGTGACAACTTGGAAAACGCATGCATCTTTATTTATTATTATTATTTTTTTTTAAAAAAAACTTGGCTGAGTTGGCTCAGCTCGTTCGGATCGAAAATGGCTCGTGTGGCTCCTCAAAATGGGGCTAGGCCCGATGGTTCCGAGCCAAGAGCTAGCTCAATCTTTTCCCGGGCCGAGCCATGGGCTACCCTAGCCAGCGAGCCATTTTGACATCCCAACTATCGTATTTAAAAAATTGTATTATATGGTGAAAGAAATCTGACTTCTCTTAATTGTGATTTCTTTTTTCTATGGAGAAATCGGTTGTATAAATGGATAAATATAGGACAAGTGTCATGTTGAAAGGAACTCTAATATACCCAAAACTTCTATCCAAGTCGAATAACACATCTTTACTCTAACTCAATCCCAACAACCACGTCTGCCTATACTTTCATAAGTCAAAATCGAAATTAATAAAATAATATATAATGACAACTTCTTTAAACTCAATAATTTAGATTTCGCTTATTCGAATTAACTTTTGCTCAAATGTAAAATAGATGCTTAAATACGAGCTATCCAACGAGCCTAATATTGATATACTTATCATCGACATATAAAAATCTAAATATGTGGTCCAATTAAAATTGAATTAATACATATATTACTTTAATCTTCCATTTTTTTTTTTTTTTTTTGCAAAATATAAATATAACGCCTAGAATAATTAAATTATATTCTATAAAATTTTCGGGGCTCCACATAGTCACCATGAAATATAACTTGGAAGTTAACTACCAACACAAGTAATTCAATTTAAGCAAAAGATAGACACTTTTAATTGTCTTAAATAATCTGATCTTAGGGAAGTTGACAGGAACTATCTTTCACAAAAGATGAACAATTAAAAAATTAATTTTCAATTATGCCTACAACATGATAACCACTTTGTGCATATTTCACCCTTAAAACTGGATTGTAATGGAAGAATGTTCAAAGTGTTCATAAACCCATAAGGAAAGCCTTCCCCAATATGTTTAGATCCTTCAATTTCACTCCCTCTTCAAGATCATCGTTCATTTTTCAAGAAATCAGTATTGTAATAGAATTAACCTCCCAAATTGCCCTTCACAAGATGGTGGTTTTGCTTGTTTTCGCGTTTGGTAAAATTCACCATAAAAACTGGGTTTGTGAGGAGAGGGCGCCCTCAGTTTATATACACCCCACAAGGTAAATTTTCTGCAAGCGATATCGGAGATGAAATCGTTATGGACACTTAAATTAAAATAGAAACTTGTAATATTAGCTGAATATCTTCTTAAGCACAACAGAATGAAACTACCATTCAGTCTAGATGTTAGTACATCTAAAAGAAACTAATTCTACATAAACTACGAAATACATGATTATACACGGAAGATCCTTTTATCAATTCTATCTTAGCCCTTCTACAGGCAGGCCAAAAGAACTTTACGGGCTATAAACACTTGCTAATGCACATCTTCTAATAGTAATACTGGCTTACATTCTTCACAAGAACTAAGCTTCCTCCCTTCGTAGTCTGTCATGTAGAATCTGCATTAAAAACATGCCAAAATTTTAACATATGTTTTTTCTTCAACCCTATTTAGTCCAGATCTTCTAGTATTTTCTACAATTTCTACAAAAGATGTAACTTACAATGACCATGGTACCTTCGTATTCGTCTTACTTGCTGTAGTACATAGTAACATAAGGAATAATCAGCTGTCACCATCTCCAGTTTCATTGACCCTTATAATGTAAACCTGAAATTTTACAGGTAGCAAAAATAACAAGAATGACAAAATCTTCAGATTTAACATATATTAATGAGAAGTAAAATGAATTATTAACAATACCAACATCAATACGATTATAGTTTAGAAGTATAGAAGGAATTTGAGATCAAATTTCCATCAAAACAGACAAAACTAAAACAAAGAAACATATTATATAACCATTTGACAATTTAACATAAACTGGTAAACCAAGGGGGCAATCATTTTAGTAGTCTAGTTGATAATTATATTTTGGTTCTACTCTAGTAGTTAAGTTGCACTGAACGATCCTGGTGCCAAAGGATGGAAATTCGAATAAATCATGTAGGAAATTTCTATGGTGTTTAGTACATTTTCAGAAGAAATAATCAATTGCAACAATTCATGTTCTTTAAAGGGCAACTTTTGTCCTTGCGCCATTTGACTTTTAACGGCATACTTGGTATATTACACTTCACAACACCAGACACTATTAAGAAAGAAAATGAAACTAAAATCATGTTCTCAGCATTTTCTAATCCTATTTAATACCGCACACCAAACACACTCTAAGTTTAATCTATGCCATCTGCATAGATAGAAACATCATCATATGCTATCCAACGGACAAAACCTTGTAAGCCTTGTGTTTTCAAAGTTGGATGCAAGCATTTTTTGCATTTTACTACCTCCGTGGTTTAAGCGAGACACTAACAATTCACATAAGTAAATCAAATGTAACCATCAAGAGTAACATTGAACTCCGCAAGATTACCTTAAATGTCGTAGGAGAAACTAACTGGAAAACCAGTGCATCCCCATCGACTAACTCATGGTCAATTGCAAAACCTCTCCATCCACCACTAAGTCCTGCTTTCTGAGCAAGATACTTTGTGGGATGTTCGTTGCCCTCTTCATCCACTAGAATGATAGTTTCATCACGAGTTGGAAGGTGAGTTTTGCAAAAGCTCAGTGGAAGACCCTATTGCAAAAATGTAGTATTAACGATATGGCATGTTCTAAAAACAGCAAACTGAACAAAGTAGCGAAAAATGATTCAAGCAGCCACCCAATTTTATTGACCACAAAATATTAACTTATTGTTGCTGTTTCTAAAAATATGTTCCAAGCTGATATAGTTAACAAATACGCTATAAACAACCTCCTATTGATGATTCTAAAACTCATGTTCATTACTATCATGGTTCAAGTCTACGTAGTTTTTGAAAAGTTTAGTCTAGTTGAGTTATTAAATTTATTAACCAGCCGTCTTAAAATGTTAAAAGCATGTTTAATACATAGATTGACCAAGATTTTTACTTCTTTATATTCTAAAATATTGTCAAGTCATACTTACCCAACATGTCTTGGACAAATAACTTTCCAAAATTTAAACTTAGTAGGTTATAATGGCTTATGATAAATTAGTCAACAACTGAAGGATCAAAAACTTCCCTTGATCATGAAAAGTTTTGAAATTGTAGGATATCAGTTGCCAAAAGACAGCCCCCAACTTTTTATAGGGTGGACTCTAGAATGCCAGATGGTGTTTGAAAAGAAAAGGCTAAAATCTGGTCCATTATACCATCTATATTTTGTTGCTGATATATCCTTAGCATTTTTCATTACCCTAACCTCTTTATTATTGACTTCTTTTAAGAGTCGGACATAATATTTTCCTCAACTTACAAGCCAAAATCCACCAGTGACGTGTGATTGAAGCATAGGCTTGATAAAATTAGGAATATCTTGATCTAAACTTGATTGTAGTTGCTCTGCTCTTTCAATAGCATATTGTCGATGTTCATCTGAGGCATAGACTCGATTTAGCAAATCCCTTCTTTGATAGCTATAAATGAACATCAGAAAACCACAAAAAGGAGGAATCAGTATAATATATACCATTGGATTTGTTTCATTTGGAAAATCAAAAAAGGAAGTTAGGGAACAATGTACAAACCTCCTCCTTGGCAACCCCAATGGTTCAACTCCAACCTATCAAAAGCAAGAGCATTTATTTGAACCTCGTGATGTCATACAAATAAAAGGATTATACTAGAAATGCTCTGATATGTAAAGAATTGCTAATCCACTCTTTCTCCTGTACACATTTTGCTTCCTTAATCTTGTTCATTTTGCTAACTCTATGTACTAAATATGCTCCAAAGAGCCTACTTGTATGCTACCTAACATAAATGCATGAGCTAGCTTCAAAAGGGAGTTCAGCAAAATCATTGAAGCACTTCCTTTACCTATAAAAAAATGGACTGGGATATCCAATAATAATCATCTTTGTGAAGTAAAAACATTAATGTTCTGATTTCCGAAATATCTAAATAAATCAGTGAAGAGAACTTGCGAAAAAGTAGAAACAATCATCCATATGCAAACTTGGATATTTCCAAAAATAATCACATAATAGTTTCTTTTGAATTTATACACACACAAATTTTTTAACACCTTCTCATCATGGACATTTTGAAACTTAACAATAAACTTAAATTGTTAGTTTAAAAGTCTTTTCTCAAATAACCTGGTTCTTTTCCTTTTTCAACAATTGATTTAAAATCGATGAAATATAGGCTAAATAAACCCCAATACATATTAAATCAACCCTGATTCAAGTTATCAATCTCTACTGACGAAGGTTTTTTACAAGCAAGTTTATAGATACGTGTAAGGAATACAATTCTTTAACTGGTTCATCTGTCTGTCATTGGTCCCAGTCTTTTGGTCTAGTTCTAAAAGCAAAAGGCTTGGGTCACCAACGCACTATCACAAGAATCACACAAAATAAATCATGACAGTCGTGAGATAGTTAGATGTTTTACTGACTTCTTTGTAATTAGGGGGAGGCTTGTCTGCTACTCGGCTTGATCTTCTCACAGAAGAGGGATCTAATGGCTGTTTGGGTACCTTTGGCTTCACCTTCTTCATCTATCACATATAACAGAACAACCCATTATCACGTATTTGTTAAGATGGATTGGACTGTATAAATAAGCTAAATTTTGTTATTTAATATAGATACAGGGGAGGATTTGGGGGTATGGAGAGCTTGAGCGAGCTTGTTGAGATTGAGTTGTTCCATTCTCTTCTTGTTCTCTTCCAGCCTCTTCTGCCGGTTTTGCTCGTACGCCGCCTTCTTTGCCACCACCATTTCCTTGTTCTTTACGTGTATGTGTGTGTGTTTTCGTTTTGATTATTGATCTTGTTGAAGATGGATGATTGTTTTTTGATGGGCAAATGAAAGGGAAAGGAAAAGGAAGAGTAGTAGAGGACCGTTGAAATTCTTTCTCCCTCCCAAAACCCTACTGTGGGACCCATTTTCATATTTCAAATTCGAAATCTTTCAATTGTCATTGGATGCTGTGTTAGATTGTGATATTTTCTTGAAGTATGACTCATTTTTTTCTTGTTAAGGGCCTGTTTGGTACAGATTTTCATTTTCTACAGTAAATCAATTCTCATTTTCAACCAAATATTCTTTAATAAAATAATAGTTTCCATCACATCAATACTTTTTTCTTCTTTTTCAACCACACATTTCTCATCATATCACTATTCAAAAATCAATTCTTCCCCCAAAAATCTCTACCAAACACACTCTAATTTGTTTCTTTTGAAGTTTAGTCCCCGTTTGGCTCACATTATTCCACATTTAATTATAATTTATTTTTCTTTCTCTTCTTATCAATCACATATTCTTCAATAAAATAATATTACACGTAAATTAAAAAAAAAATCATTCTCTTTTAACCACACATTCTTAAAAAATTACTATTAATTTCATTATAACGTGGAATAATTGGGCCAAATAGGCGCTACCATTGTTTGACATCCATTTTTTTCTTTCTTTATTTCAACCACATATTCTATCAATAAAATAATATTACACATAAACTCAAAAATTANCCTTTGATTTGTGACAGCGCAGGTCCCAAACCTTTAATAAATATGCGGCGTAGGTCCAAATGGATGGTTTCCATCCATTTGACCGTTAGTTTGACCGAAATAATGAACTTTGACTCATTTTGACAAAATTGAAGAGGGCAAAATTGTAACTTTACAATTAAAACATTAAATAAATTAATTAAAAACCTAAAAATTAAAAATCCAAAAATAAATAATAAATAAATAAAACACACACACTCTCTCTCCCTAAGCCAACAATCTCTCCCGGCACCACCACCGCCGTCAGATTTGTGTCGACACCACCACGATTCAATCATCACTTTAGTCTTCATGAATCCCCATCAATCTGAATCTCCTCAACCAAATGAATCTCCCAACCCAACATCTCCATCGCCATCCTCCACGAATATCCGATTTCAGATCTCATTTCAAATCCGCCGCTGCCAGATCCTCCACGAATATCCTCACAGTGTTCCAATCATGATCTTCAAATGGTACGGTGACAGTGGAAGAGTGAAGAACAAACAGGAAACGGAAGTGTCGCGGACGTGGTGCAGTGGCGGTCGGAAGGCGGAGGAGGCAGCAACCAAATGTGATACAACTGTTGTTGGGCTCGGTGTTTCTGATATCTGAGAGCAATGACGGCAAATGGACTACGCTGCAGAACGTGTGTTTGAACTGGCGACAATTGACCGATGGCTAGTGAAACAAACAGGTATCCACGAGATAGAGGAGGGTGAAACTGGCTGGCGATTGGAACTCTAAGCAACGGGCTGATGAGAATGGCGGTAGTAGAAGCGGCGAAACTGGCTTATGAACAACAGGGAACTCAATTGACATCGAGCTCAAGTGCGGCGAGAGGCCGATTGTGTGATTGTGGAAGTGTGGGTGCCGGCTATGGGGCTGTGGTCGACGACGTGGTGAATCCCAGCGGTATTGATGAAATCGCGGCGGTGGGTGGGGCAGTAATGCCCGTGGGTAGTGTATTAGAGGAGGCACGACTGACGATTACTGTTGGTTGTGGTTTGAGGAGAGGGGTGGTGCCGACGATAAGATGGCTGTCGGTGGTGGCGATGGTGGTTGCTGTATGGTTCGGAGGAGGAAGATGAAAGGTTGAATATGAGATGGGGTGGGGTGGTAAATTTTTTTTTAATTTTTGGGTTTTTAATTTATTTATTTGATGTTTTAATTGTAAAATTACAATTTTGCCCTTTTCAATTTTGTCAAAATGAGTCAACGTTCACTATTTCGGTCAAATTAACGGTCAAAATATTCTTTAATAAAATAATAGTTTCCATCACATCAATACTTTTTTCTTCTTTTTCAACCACACATTTCTCATCATATCACTATTCAAAAATCAATTCTTCCCCCAAAAATCTCTACCAAACACACTCTAATTTGTTTCTTTTGAAGTTTAGTCCCCGTTTGGCTCACATTATTCCACATTTAATTATAATTTATTTTTCTTTCTCTTCTTATCAATCACATATTCTTCAATAAAATAATATTACACGTAAATTAAAAAAAAAATCATTCTCTTTTAACCACACATTCTTAAAAAATTACTATTAATTTCATTATAACGTGGAATAATTGGGCCAAATAGGCGCTACCATTGTTTGACATCCATTTTTTTCTTTCTTTATTTCAACCACATATTCTATCAATAAAATAATATTACACATAAACTCAAAAATTATCCTTACTTCTTAACCACACATTCTTCTATCAATCACAGTTCCAAATCAAATTCCTCTATAAAATGGGTGTCAAACAAGGGCGGTATTTATATCATCTCTCATTTTTCTTACACCTAAAAGTTTTTGGGGGTTAAATTCTGAAATTTTAATATAAAAATTTTGAAGTTTCAATTGATTCTTGGACGGTTTCTTTGTACACAATAAGATCCAAAGTCGTATCATTCTCAACACCAATGGATTTTACTTATTTAAAAATTTGTGTACAATGAATTTATGTATTTAGTTAAGTAATATATCTTTACTTGATTAATTAATTACTTGGATCAATACAATATTATTAATAATTGGTTGTTTAAACTTCAGTGTATTATAAATGCTCTGTTCAAATTAATAAATTTTTAACCCATGTATAAATTAATAACTCCTTTAATTAATAAAGGGATAATTGCAGCAACGGTCCCAAACCTTTCAGATTTTTGCGCACTTTACCCTAACCTTTGATTTGTGCCAGCGCATGTCCCAAACATTTAATAAATATGCGGCGAAGGTCCAAATGGATGGGTCCATCCATTTGACCATTAGTTTTACCGAAATAGTGAACTTTGACTCATTTTGACAAAATTGAAGAGGGCAAAATTGTAACTTTACAATTAAAACATTAAATAAATTAATTAAAAACCTAAAAATTAAAAATCCAAAAATAAATAATAAATAAATAAAACACACACACTCTCTCTCTCTAAGCCAACAATCTCTCCCGGCACCACCACCGCCGTCAGATTTGTGTCGACACCACCACGATTCAATCATCACTTTAGTCTTCATGAATCCCCATCAATCTGAATCTCCTCAACCAAATGAATCTCCCAACCCAACATCTCCATCGCCATCCTCCACGAATATCCGATTTCAGATCTCATTTCAAATCCGCCGCTGCCAGATCCTCCACGAATATCCTCACAGTGTTCCAATCATGATCTTCAAATGGTACGGTGACAGTGGAAGAGTGAAGAACAAACAGGAAACGGAAGTGTCGCGGACGTGGTGCAGTGGCGGTCGGAAGGCGGAGGAGGCAGCAACCAAATGTGATACAACTGTTGTTGGGCTCGGTGTTTCTGATATCTGAGAGCAATGACGGCAAATGGACTAGGCTGCAGAACGTGTGTTTGAACTGGCGACAATTGACCGATGGCTAGTGAAACAAACAGGTATCCACGAGATAGAGGAGGGCGAAACTGGCTGGCGATTGGAACTCTAAGCAACGGGCTGATGAGAATGGCGGTAGTAGAAGCGGCGAAACTGGCTTATGAACAACAGGGAACTCAATTGACATCGAGCTCAAGTGCGGCGAGAGGCCGATTGTGTGATTGTGGAAGTGTGGGTGCCGGCTATGGGGCTGTGGTCGACGGCGTGGTGAATCCCAGCGGTATTGATGAAATCGCGGCGGTGGGTGGGGCAGTAATGCCCGTGGGTAGTGTATTAGAGGAGGCACGACTGACGATTACTGTTGGTTGTGGTTTGAGGAGAGGGGTGGTGCCGACGATAAGATGGCTGTCGGTGGTGGCGATGGTGGTTGCTGTATGGTTCGGAGGAGGAAGATGAAAGGTTGAATATGAGATGGGGTGGGGTGGTAAATTTTTTTTTAATTTTTGGGTTTTTAATTTATTTATTTGATGTTTTAATTGTAAAATTACAATTTTGCCCTTTTCAATTTTGTCAAAATGAGTCAAAGTTCACTATTTCGGTAAAACTAACGGTCAAACCATCCATTTGGACCTCCGTCGCATATTTATTAAAGGTTTGGGACCTGCGCTGGCACAAATCAAAGGTTAGGGTAAAGTGCGCAAAAATCTGAAAGGTTTGGGACCGTTGCTGCAATTATCCCATTAATAAATTTTGCATGATTCTTAAATTTAGCTCCTGTTTGAGTCCTATTATTTTAAAACTCATTTTTCTCAAAACTTATTTTCAATTACACATTCTCTCAATAAAATAATTTACACGTAGATCCAAAAAAATTTCTAATTTTTAATCGCACATTCGTCAAAAAATCAATATTACAAAATCTTTTTTTTATTTTAACGTAATGGGGCTTAAAAAAAGGGCAAATAAGAGTTATACTTGTTGACCCCGTTTTTTGTATCGTTGATGTGGACAATAGATTCTGAACCCACTCGTATCCCCGCAATCTAATTCCAACACGTACGGGCATATTACTAATCAATGGTATCTCAAATTTGAACGTGGGGGAAATTTAATAATACGAGACAAATATGTTTGGACGTCGGCAAGATATATGAGCGAAATTACACAATAAGGAACAATCAACAAAAACTAAGTTTAAGATCAAGATCAAATGTCTAACTTTAACAACAAGAGTAAACTCAAAAGGAATGGCTTTTGAAGTATTAGCATTACCCCAAATGACACAAAATGGAGGAATATTTATAGTGTTACATGTGAAATGGTGATCATTTGATGAGTGGACACGTAATCTCATCTCCTTAATCGAAGCATCTTATCATAAGTATCAATTTTGACCCAACTAGCATGTGGCGCATTAAATGCTCTAAAAAACGGGCAGTCACCCTATGACCGATGTGGACAAGATTTCGATATATTACTCATTACAAGAGTCAAATCAATCATGAGCTAAATAAGAGTTATACTATTGCTGTGCTTGGTGGGGATTAAAATTAATTTCTTGATAGGTTTATATAAAAGTTAATAATATATGTTTGAAAAATACGAGTCTTAATAAGCTTATGAGGGTGTTTGAGAGAGATTAAAATTGAAAAACTAGAAGTTATTATTGACTTTTATTAGACGAGTGAGATCCAATAACAACTATATTTTCAATTTTAATTGGATTTTAAGCTCTACCAAACAAATTCTATATTTGGTCTCTATTTTTTTCAAAAATTTAATTTTTCAAAATCCATTTTCCGCTACATGTTCTACAATAAAATAATTTTACACGTAAATCAATTTTTTCTTATTTTTTAACTAAACATTCTCCAAAAAGTTATTATTTCAAAATATATTATTTCCCAAGATGGGACTCAAACATGGACAAAGCATGTGATTAAAATGAATTGTTGACTTTAATTTAAATTAAAATCGAAATTTTAATCTCCATCAAACATGAACTATATTATTATACACCCTCATAAGTAGCATCGTGCAATTTCAATGTCCAGTACCACTAAAAGTTATTAGGAACCCCATTTCCCGTCCCCACCATGCCACCCTTTTATGAGCGATCAAAGATGGGCACGGTGTGGGTCAGGAGAAGGCCCTAATCCTCGATTAATCTTCCTGTTTATTTATTTATTTATTTTTTTATTGTGTATTTTAAATGTAAATATGTGATGCAATACATTGCTTTTTGAGAGCTGGGTCCAATTGTGTTTCCATCCCAAGCCCATCTGTCACGAACTAATAGATATTAAGCCATTGTTTGATAATGCTAAAAAATTTGATTAAAATTTAAGTTAAAGTCAACATTTAATTTTAACCACACATTTTATAGGATTTACAATTTTTCAACCACATATTCTATCGATTTTTATCAAAAGTTGCTAAATATCTGATTTTAATTTTTAACAAACATGGGCTAAAACCCTATTCCGTAATGGACGAGTTATGCACACAAGCCCCTAATTGTAGATTTTTTTATTTTTTATTTGGAAAAAAAAAAAAATTAATCAGGACAAATAGGGTGAGGATCATGATTCTTGTCTCCATGTCCCATCCCAACTCAATGTAGATTTCTTAGCCCCATCTCTCAAACTGGTTAATTGGGAATCCCATTTCATTCTCCTCCCTAAGCTTGTGTTTGAATCTAATTTTGAGAAGAATAGAAATTTTGAAATAGTGATTGATGTGAGAATGTGTGGTGAAAAAGTGATGAAATTTTTTGCATTTGTGTATAATATTATTTTATTTGGAGAATGTGTAGTTGAAATGAAGAATGAGAATGAAAAATTAATGAGTGTCAAACGGAGTAATCTCAATAAGGTACGAGATATTAGTATAATTGTGACTCGATTCATGAGTTGAAGTCTTTTGTCCCAAAAATTCACTTTGTCTGGAAAACATCCTCAAACTTTAAAATGGACGTCGTTAGTCCCTTAAGGTTGTGGATCCCATTAGTTCCAAAGTAGAATTTCGACAAAAATTCTAAAAGTGTTCTATGTGGATGATGAAAAAGTGATGTGGCATCCCATCAAAGTTACTTTGCCCTCCAATACATCAATGGTCAACAAGGATATCCATGTCATATTTAATAATTTTTTATCGCAACCATAATAACTTCAGTGAAGAATTAAAAAGAAAAGCAATAAAGAAAGAAATTGAACAAGAAAAAAAAAAAATCAACTGTATAAGTTCCGATTAGCCAGATTTAGAACTATCCATAAATTAAATGTAGGCATGTGATTAAGATTTTAATTGGATAAACCTAAGTACTAGAAATGAACATAAATTAACTACTTACTAACATATCAACTAGTTTTATTGAATATATCCAAATAATTACTTCCATTGCACTTAAGCTCGGCATCAGCCTAAGTTTGGCCCCACTGGAAGAAGAAAATTTGGGCTAATGAGTTCACAAGAAAATATGACAGCAACACATCCTTTCCACACTGAATTTGATTCTTCATATACTTGCCATTGCAAATTTGTACAGACAGTTGTACATATCATGCAACATAAATCCTCACAAGATCTCAAATAATTCACATTTCTGTTTGGCAGTTGACTATAGGATTCATGTAGAATTCTCATTTTACATCTGTAACATACCAGTAAATTCACAAGAACATGCTGGTTTACATCTGTATATTGAGGTTTTCTGGCAGCTGCTATACTCCAAAAGCTTTCATTTATATATTCAATACCTTCCCCAAGATGTAAATATCAAACTCCGAAGCCTTCGAGACTTTGTCCAACAAATTTGTCTTTTCGGGGCAAGAAAAAACTAGCAGTGAAAGGTGCTGAGCCCCAAGGCTGGGAGTGCCAAAAGCCAAAAAAGTCTCAAGGAGCCTACCTACAAGTGACACCCTTGTGAGGATGGCCATGTAGAAATGGTGTTTCCGAGTAGCAGAAGTCTTTTGGTGGAAGGCGGTTGGTGATTTCCGAACCTAATAATCAAACCATTACCGGGATCAATTAAAGTTCTTAGGGGTCTCAAACTGTAAATTCAACAAAAATCCAAAACTTTGATACCTTTAAGAACTTCAGAGCCAAAACCATCACTATTAGTTAAAGATTGGTCAAGGCTAGAATTTGGTGTATTTTTGCCTTTACCACGAATGCTATCTACAGGTGTAGAAGTATCAGGCGGAAAAGGCTCCACATACTTTACTTTTTTGCGCTTCTTATTGTCTTTCTTCACGATATCTTCCCAGTGTGACATTCCAAAAGATTACAAATAGAACATGATGTTTTTTGGACCATTGTTAACGAATAAGATAACAAAAGCAACAACATAAGTAAAGACATACCACAATCCATCTCATTTCGGCAAGCATCCATGTTCAAGAGGCAAAGTGCAGCTTCTACAACATCTGTGTCATTAACCCTCACTATTTGTACCTACAAAAGATGTTGCTTAAGAACAATAATACAATCTTCATAGAAGCATAATTTTTTATATGAAAACATACATATAAGCACACTTGTATATTCATAAAAATTAAACATCTACACATATGGCCTCAGGATAACAAGAAGGAAAGTAAAGTGTGCCACAAGATCTTCATAAAAGTGTAGAAACAAAATTTCCTCAAAACAGGGAGCTTTGTAAAAGGTCCCACGGAACGGAAATACTTATCATGCTTATATATTGACGTTCCATTTCCAGATATTCAGCTTAATAAACACGGGAAATGTAATATGATTTCAGCAAGTTTAGAGCTTTTATTTTCTAAAATATTTTGGGATAATCCATTTCAATTTTCAATTCCAAGAAAACCTGTTTTCTTTTGAAAACATAGGATGTTTGACAGTTTGCTTGATTAGAAAACATTTGCAAGTTTTTCTTTGCCAAGCAAAAGAATCATGAGGTTAGTAGGTTCTCAAATTTCAAACTGATGTCAATTTCTTCTCGTTCTAAGTCATATAGTGAAATAAAATGCCAGAATTATGGGCTTCAGGTCTCGGTCACTAATGAACACTCTAAATGATGAAACAATTACCTTTAACTTGCACGGTTCAATCAAATGGAAAATCAAAATATCTCCTTTCAGTAGTCTGTTAGATACGGAAAACCCTCTCCAGCCGGCACTCAGACCATTTCTATACAGAAGATATGATGTTTCATATTCATTTTCCCATTCATCTACCAAAACAACAGTAGCATCATGATTTGGCAAATGCTGGCTGCAAAAGCTCTTGGGAAGATGCTGTCACGAGAGCGTTCAAACAAAAATTTAATTCAGCTCACCATTGGATGTTATATCCTTTCAGAAGGCACAAAGTACATGTTCGGCTAAGCTAAATAAAAAGTCAGGCTTAAAAATGAGTAAAAGATAATTAATTTTTTTTTCCAAACGTGTTTCAATAAGTTACTTTATTCTTACTTCTATTTTAAAAAAAAAGTTTTTAATTCGAAAGTAACTCTTTAACTTACTGTCAAAATAAGTATAATACTTTCAATTTCTATCAATGAAAAAGTTATTTATGTTAAGACTTACTTATTCACATAAAAGTGAACTTTTTAACCTTAGCAAAACATGCTAGCTTACCAGCCAAAATCCATGAGCAACATTTGATGGGAGCATACACTTCCCAAAGCTAGGGGCATCATTTGCTAATCTTGCCAAAACTCTTTCGGCTCGCTCCATAACAGAAAATTTAGCTTCAACATCCTCGTATATATCACTAAACCTGGATCTCTTTCCTTTACTTCTGTAGTAGATCATACAATCAGTAAACATGTCAAAAATTAACATCATGTATACCTCCAAGTGGGAATAGAACTGATGTTTTAAAGCCATTCAAAAAAATAGCCAACCTTCCCGATTTCTTGGAATTACTAGAAGACACCTGTTAAAAGGAGATTAATTCAATCATTGTTAGATGAGATCTCCTAAATCATGTGAGGCATTTTCAAGCATCCAGTATATATTGAAGTGACTGTAAATAGACAAAATGTTGATCGTATATGAATCATCACAAGTTGTAGCCGTAATACTAGAACTAAAACTCATGTGGCCTCATTCTCGTTTAGTCTCACTAAGATATCTCGTTTTTGGATCTTCTGGTTCAAAATCACTACTCGAAGCAGATTGCCATGAACCTATACATACAATTGAGGATTCTTTACGACACATATAATTTTGCTACAATCACCTAAAAGAAAGATGATCTGAAAATAACACCAAAAATATTATGTACAATTACCACCAAAATAATAAATCATATTTGGCTCAGTCAATTTCAAAACTCTGATTTACAATATTAAAATAGATAGAATAAATGTTCGGCCAGAATATGACGTACTTTTAGGTTTTTGGAAGAAATTTGGGTCTCGGACACTGAACAGTTTCTTCATACAAATTGCACGCTGAATGCTCAACAATTTATCAAACCATAAAATCTGGAAACAACGCAGCGTGACTTGCCTCAAATGCATCTATAGATCAGTAAAATTTAACAAAATTCTAAATTCGCGATAAAAGTAAGTTTTGGACATCGAAGAACAGTTTTTGCCGAATCTATTTTCGCGCATCCGAGAATTTTTGCCAAATCTTGTTTTCCTTTTCCCCTCCACAAAACCCTAAAATTACCTTGCAGAACAAAATCAAATTATCTTTAAATCCTACGAAAATCGAAAAACGCTGCAGTAAATGCGAATGTTTTGTGACAAAACTCAATTAATCAACTGATACAACATGATATCTACATAAAATTTCATCCATCAATTCAATCATTCTCAGATAACTAAAAATCTAAGGTGGGTATGGATCTAATAAAAAATATTAAAAAAAAAAAAAAAGGAATCCTCACTCGTTTATCCTTAGATTTGAGACTTTTAGGCTTTTTCGAAGCAATTTCTTTCTTGGTCACAGATTGCATTCTCTTCCTTTTCTGTAAGATATCAAAAGGCAAACAACCCACAACTATAAGTTTAAAACACAAATATGAGCAAATATACATACATATAAAGATGCAAAACATATTTGATAAGTACCTTCTGTGAAGATTGTGTAAGGTCTGTTTCATCTTCCTCTTTACAGTTTTGGGTCTCGGTTCCATATAGCTTTTCTTTAAATTTCTTGGTTTCCATGAGGTTGTTTCAAGGTTATTTTACTTCAATCCATTTTATTTTTCTCTCTCTTGAAAAATTGCTAGTGGTTGTAGTATGACTTGCTATATAATATGTATATAATATATGTAAGTATAATACTCATTTCAAAAAATATATCTATACATTAGGATTTGTTTGAGCCACATTATTTTGAAATAATGTATTTTGTAATAGTAGATTGATGGAGAATGTGTGGTTGAAAATAAAAGAAAATTTATTGATGTGATGAAAATTATTATTGTATTGAAAAATGTGTGGTTGAAAATAAGAATTGATTTACTGTAAAAAATGAGAATCCCTACCAAACAGGCCCTAAATATGTCGCTTGTGTGACTTATGAGAAAACGATTATTATTGAAATGATTTCTTAAACCTTATTGGTGGTTATTTGGAGTGGTTAGTGTTTCTTATGTATTTGTTTCGACGGTTTCATGCGAGGCCATATCTTAATTAATTTTTTCTTGAATAAAGATATTGTGCCAGAAAAAATGCCCACCTGGATGATCTACTAAGTGTGGGATCGACGTGGGACTCGAGTGAAATAAAAAAATGAAAAAAAAGCTTCCCTCCCCCGTGATGTGTGTGTGTCCTGAGAGGGTGTGACACCCTCCCTGACACTGCAGTTTCGTCCTTATTTCTTTTTCGTTAACAAAAAAATATTTTTGTCTTGTATCTGTAGATGGCTGAAATAGTGGGTACATAGAGAGAATTATTCTTCAATTTTGCATACAAGTGTCAAAATCAACCATACTAAGGGGCTGTCTGATACAGATTAAAAACTCAAAAAATTGATTATGTTACCGTTATTTTCAACCATTTGAGCCCCACCAAGACACAATGTAGTCAAACATTTCGGCTGAACAGTGAAAATAACGGACAAAATTCCGATTTTAAGTAGCAACAAACAGGCTCTAAATTGACACGATTTAGATTTTACAGGTACAAGCGGACAAGTAGAATTGTAGCTCAATTCAGGCACGACACACAATGAGTGACTTTGCTTTAACTTACTTACCAATATTAGTTAAAAAATTATTTTGAACACGTTTGTTATGCCGGTAGAAAGATGTTTATGTGCTTATTTGAGAGAAATCATAAATGGCTGAAATTATTAATGAATAGAAATAAGTATTTGATAAGTAGGTAATAGCTTGAATCATACGAAAAATATGTAGTTAAAATTGAAATTTCACTTAATTTAAAGTATTTTTTTTCTTTTACTAACGTAGTATTCCTTACATTTTCATAAGATAAATATTGTGTTACGTCTTATCCTACGAAACTCATATTATTGATCACGTGGCAGTTAGTTGAGAAAATAGCAAGAGCCATCTAAGGTTCACACTCCACAAGACTCGCTTACCTAGTTTAATCGAGGCCATCAAATAAAGGAAGTCAAAGTGATGTCTTCGCTTTAGTCGAAGCGATATGTAAAGGTCAAACCTCCATAATGGAATTGAGGTACCATGATCCGCTGCTGCAACCCATTTTCGAAATGATAAGTCTTTGATTCACAAAGCAACTTCCATAGCTTCATTTCATCCAAAAGATCCTCTAGACACGAGGTATTCTGTACCATTGTTTACATCCCTGTTGATGCCTCTCAGTTAAGTTGTCAATCTACTTCTCAGATGAACCGTTTGATTGGTGTCCTTATCCTCTTAAGATTACACCTCAAAGTATTATAAATACATGGCTCATGCTCATTATCCTAGTACATAATTAATTCTTTTACATTCTACCTAACTATTTTATGATCTAATACCCACTTAGGCATTGGATGAGTTATGGGACCACACCCTAAGCCTTTGTTTCAAGTGGTTCAAGGCCTTAGAATATATTCGGGTTAGTGATCAAGCCTATGTAAAGATACATAGGATCAATTGGCGCCATATGTGAGACACTATCAAAAGGCATGTCCCATGGCACCCAAGATCAAAATCTTTAATTGAATCAGGTTATACTTGATCGACCTTGGTAGGCACCGTTACGTGATATATAAATATCCAAGTAGCCTGCTCGTTATAACCCGTATCTAAAACTCTTGACTTGTTAAAGAAACTCAACTCTTGGTGCAAAAACAAGATCTGTCTACCATCAATGAAACCCCCTTCCCAAAAAAAACGAGGGCCAGATTCTAGAAAGAGATCCATCAAGGTCACAACTTGGTGTCCAAAAGCTATGGTCTGACCAACTTATCAAGGTAGAGGTGGATCCACCTTCTTTCTCACAACCTGACCCATGACAAATCCTCATTGAGTTCATAACCCTAGTAATACAGTCATTTATCGTATGTTGTATTGCACCGTCAACTTTCATTTTAATCCAAACACTTATAATCGCTCTCTTTCTAACATTATAGACCAATCTCGAGGTTCAATTGAGGTAGTCAAAAATTTGTAATTGGCTGCTGCTTTTGATACAACACATATGGGATCGAAAGATTAGAGTAGTTTATCATCTTTACCAAAGCATAATAATTTGTGACAACGTACCAAGGACGCTACTTAAATCGTGATTGTTGTAGTGTCAGTCTGACCATACGTGGGGTAGGCAATTGTCTAAAGTCTCGTCTTAGTGAGAGCCCCAAGATATTAAAAAATATATAAATAATAAAAAATTCCAAAAAGAGTTTCACATTCTTTGCAGCATATAAAAACGTTTATAATACATTAATTACTTTTCATTTTGTTTTTTTTCTTTATTCTCGTTTTCAAGTTGACTCTCTCTCTCTTTGCCATTTCTTTTGTTTGTTACATTACCTTTCGCCTTTTATGTTTTTTTTTTTTTTGCTTATTTAATCAATCCTCAATTACCCATCTCCAAATTCAACCTTCTACTAATTCTATGGCTTTTGTTTACAACATTTGACAAAAAAATAGAAAAACAAACATATATATACATATATATATATATATAGAAA